GGTTATTCCCACCCTTGATCCATTTCTATTTTCATTAGTTTTCCCCTTAATACTTTTTCTTAAAGAGATTTATTCATTTATCTGAAAGAGGTACACAGAAGGAGAAGGAGAAGCAGAGTTTGAGAGAGATCTTCCACCTGCTGGTTCACTCCACAATTGGCAGCAACAGCCAGAGCTGTGCTGGTCTGTAACCAGGAGCCAGGAGCTTCTTCAACATCTCCTTCAAGGGTGCAGGGGCTCACAAACTCGAGCTATCTTCTACTGCTTTCCCAGGCCATAGCAGAGAGCTGGATTGGAAGTGGAGCAGCTGGGACTCGAACCAGTACCGTAATGGGATGGCAGCACTGCAGACCATGGGTTTTCCTACTATGCCACAGAGCTGGCCCCTTCCCCTTAATACTTGAAATATTAAGTTCGAGTTTGTAGACAAAGAGATTCACAAACAACCTTTGGAGGACACAAATTTTATACACGTGGGGAATTTTTATTTTATTTTGTGGGGAAACTCAGTCATACGTACTCTCTTTTGCTGTAGGATCGAAGCCCAGTCCACATGAGGAGAAGTCCCAGGAAAGGAAGCTCAGAGGCAGAAGCAGCGTTGCCAGAGAAGGTCAGTTCAGACTCACCCGGAGTGAGAAGGTCATAGGGTGCTGTGGCACAGTCTTCTCTGGGAGACAGGGGCCCTGAGACCAGATGGGTCAGCAGCACCTCAGAGATGCTGGGGTACGGGGACCAGAGGGGAAGGGAGCACTGGTGGGAGGCGCTGCTCCCTGTGTCCTGGATAGACCTGGGCTGTGGCTGTGCATTTGGAGGCAGGCACTCCAACTCCCTGTGTTTTGCAGAATCAGAGTCCAGCTGTGATGGGGTGAGCTCCAGGAAGAGGACAATCAGTTCCGAGGACAGCAGCCACACGGGGACAGGTAGCATCGTGCTTTCTCTACCTCGAGGGTCAGGACCAGGGAGCTTATCCAAGGTTGGGAAGGGAGGGGTTGTCAGAGATTGAGAGCAGTTTAGAGATCCCGAGAGCATGTGAGGAGGAGGATGGGTGCTGCCTGGGTTCCTGCTGGAGTCCATTGTGGGGAAGGAAGTGCAGGATTCGGTGGGGTTCCCGTGAAGGGGGCAGGACTTAGGTTTTAGGGCCCAAGGAGCTGTGCTGAGTGTCTCCCGTGTGTCTCTGCAGGCAGCTGTGTGCATGAGCTCAGCTTGAATTTGCAAAAGAAAGCAAAACCTTCAGACGATGGAAATGACAGAGGAATTCAGGAGGCGCATGCGGAACCTCCCAGGGGATCCTCCAGGCCCGCTCTGGGCACAAGAGTAGGCGCAGGTCCAGGTCCCCAGCAGACCACCCACCGCCCCTTCGGAAGAGCCTGGTGACCTCCCTGCGCTCTCTGTCTGAGGCCATTTATGAAGATTTAGCCCGGGTGCAGGCGCAGCAGGCGCAGTTCCTGCTGACCCAGGAGCAGCTGTTTGCGCTGGCACAGCTCCGCAGGCCTCCATGCAGCGCCATGCAGAGCTGCTATGGGCTGGCCTCACAGGCGGCCTGGGCCTTCCCTGCCCAGGGCTGGCTCCTCCAGGCTCAAGCCCTGGCCTCCGCCCGGGCCCCGGAGCATATGCCTGCTCTCCAGTCGCTGGCACCTGCTCAGAGCTCCTCCCAGGAGGGGGAAGGCCAGCCCTCTGCTGAGCAGGAAGAACCTGAGGCACACAGGGCATCAGACTAATCTTGTGCTGGGGAGCCCGCATGGTGGACACTAGAGGGCGCATCTCTGACACACAGAAAGACTTGCTGCTGCTACTTCTCCGCAAGCCCAGCAGAGACCCTGTAGTCGGGATGATGCTGATGCCTGAGGGAATCTGGGTGGCCATAGGAAAGGAACTCGAGCGACTTCCTCGGAATCTGGAACCTGTTCTTTCCTTGAGGATGGCATAACAGAAGAATGTCGGTTTTCACATTACCAATCTGAATCCTTGTAACTAACTTGAATTTTTAAATGAAACACATATTAAGAGGTCATCATTGACACTTGTGCATTTTTGTCAATGTAAAGTTTTCTATCTGGAGAAGTTCTGGGGAGGTGGGAGGAGCAGTGCCCAGGAGGACTCTGTGTGGAGATGACAGGGTGGGTCTGTGTGAGACAGGGCCTCAGAAGCAGTGGGTGTCTGAGGGTGGGCAGTGACCGTGCCCAGACGTCTGAAACCAGTGTTGATCAAGCGTGGACAGTTTCTTGCCCCACCGGAATTGGACGCTGTGACTGTGTGATTTTATTCTGCTGAAACCACTTTCAATTGATAACATAAGTTTCAGATGTTCGAGATATATAAGGATGTGTTATCTTCATAAAATTAGTTTCGTGTATTTATATGATCATGAGTACATGAGTGTTCTTCCAAATCTTAATAAAAAAGAATTGAAGACAAATTTAATTTAATAGAAGTTTTAATTATTTAAATGAATGAATTCTCTCTTTATTGTGGCTTAGTAATGGTGACAGAGGGAGAGGGAAAAAGAGAGTGAAACTTTTCATCCGCTAGTTCTCTTTGCAAATGGCTGAGTGGCTGGGGCTGTTCCATGCAAAAACTAGAAGCCTAGAACTCCAACAGATTTCTCACGCATGTGTCAGTGTACCAGGTACTTGGATCTTCACCCATGGCTTTGGCAGACACATTAGCAGGGATCTAGATCAGAAGCAGAGCAGCCAGGATGTGAACCCACAGCTCTATAGACTATGCTGCCGTGCCAAATAGTGGCTTAACCTACATAGCTACAATTGGGCTAGTTCTGTGTCAATTTTTGAACCCATGCTGAGATCAGTAAATAGCACAGAGTATTTATTATTTACGGAGAGAAGTCGAGACAGATAGAGAGAGGTCTTCCATCCACTGGTTCACTCCCCAGTTGGCCTCAATGGTCTGAGCTGCACCTGTCAGAGGCTAGGTGTGAGGAGCTTCTTCCAGGTCTCCCACATGGAAGCAGGAGCCCAAGGACTTGGTCCATCTTCAGCTGTTTTCCCAGATCATAGCAGAGAGGTGGATCCTGAGAGGAGCACCCACAGCTAGAACCAGTGCCCATATGGGATGCTGTTACTTCAGGCCAGGGCTTTAACCCACTGCACCACAGTGCCGGCCCCCAACCTCGTGTTTTAATTGTTGGCCTGAGTCCATGGGCAGGGTCCAAAGCTCTGTGTTACAATCACATCCAATTCTCCTCCTCAGCTGGACCGTTGGTGCTGAGCACCCTCTACAATGCTTCCTGGTCGCCCAGGATGACTCGGAATATGAGGCAAATGGCCAGTTACCATTTCCAGCTGGGTTTTCTGCTATCCCAGGCATCAGTTGTTAATTAGGTTTTAACCAAAAGCTCTGATAATCTCACGTGATCTAATCATGGCCATCACTTTCAAGATAAATGAACTTTTTTTGTTTTGTTTTTTATTTTCCTCTACTTTTTTTATTATCAACTATGTGTGTTTGTATAACATTGACTCTGTTTTTCCCTCAGAAACATTTTATTTAAATTACACAAATTTCATACATTTCGTAATTACAACTTTAGAAATACAGTGATTTTTCCCATCATATGCACCACCATCCCTCTTTCTCCTCCCTTTCCTATGCCCATTCTTATTTTTTACTAAGATCTATTTTGAATTATCTTTATAAACATATGATTAATTCTATGTTAAGAAAAGAGTTCAACAAATAGTATAAAAAAAAACTTCCTCAGCTGTCAAGACAAAGAGCTGTTCAAAGTCATTGCTTCTCAAGGTGTCAATTTCACTTCTATAGATTGGTTTTAAGTGATCTATTAGTTATCACAGGTCAGGCAGAACATTTGGTATTTGTCCTTTGGTGATTGGCTTATTTCACTAAGTGCATTGACTAATTTGAAATTTGTCATTTCTGAACATTTGGGAATTTAAACACATCTGTTCAAAATTTAACAGTATTTATTATTCTATCATGTGCCAAACATTTGTAAAAATGCCAACATCCTCATTGATCCTGCTACTTGAAATTAGGGCAGGGTCAGAAAAATGCTTCAGCATGGTAACTGGGCTGGAATTCAGATCAGGACCAGTTCTGTCCCTGTGCCCTCTAGTTCTATTATCCTGATTTTTAGCACAAAGATTGGACATTACATCTGGGTCCCCACTCCAGCCACAGACCAAAGATTTTTATTGAGACACTGGTCATCAACAGTAGAAAGGAATGTCTTCCACCCATAGAAGAGAGCCATGACCAGAGCAGAGGCTTTAAAAGGTAGATGGAGAAGGGCCATCCTCACTCTTTGGACACTTGAGTTCAGGATGGGACTGGGAATTGAGAGCATGCCCCTGAGCAACCACCTTCCCCGCAGATGTCTCTTAAAGATGAGAGCACAGATGAGGAAGGGCAATTACTGGAAGGAAAAGGTGAGACACTTGCTTCTGATTTCTCTGAGCTATGTGCAGAGTCAAGGTAGAGATGTGAGATGTCTGCAAGGAATGTGGAAGGTGATGTGGAATCAGGAAACTGAGTTGTGTATCTTTGGGTGGGTGTAATTTTGAAATGGGGAATGGGAAATGGCTTGAAGCTCCAAGATATATTGAGAAATGTGGCAATGAACCTGTGACCCCTAATCTTTTTGTTTGCCTTTGACACTGGTATAACAGGGCTAAGGTAACAAAATGACTCGGAAACATGAATCAGGGACAAATCTGGAGAACTCCATGTGTCTGGAAGTTATTAGATTTTCATTCCTATAACAAATATGGGGGAGAAGGTACTAAGGAAGGAAGGTTCACTTTAATCCACATTTTGAAACTTCACAGTAAAAGGCTGGGTGACCCATGAGTTTGATGATCCCTTTATTCTGGCCTCTGATGAAGGTGGCTGGAAGTGCCAAGGAAAATCACATGATAATCCAGGAAGCAAATGTGATTTCCCCTTGTACAGACACCTTGATTCCAACAGGGGGTTCCATTGTGACAACATAATCCAATCCCAGCATTTCCAGTCACCCTCAGCACGAGAATTAGATCAACACTCCACCCTTGCTCAATTTCCATTATCATTACCATTAATCATTTAAGCATTAACAGAAGACTTTTGGGACAAAGAGAATAATATACTGGATGTGAGTGGACAGGAAAACTTAGATCCGAGTTATATTATGGGGAAAGTCAGTCACTTGAACTCCTTTTGATCTAGGATCAGAGCCCAATGCCAGTGAGGTGATGTCCCAGACTACTAAGCTCAAAGCCAGAAACAGCATTTCTGGATCAGGTAAGATGTGATGGTCCTGAAGTGAGGAGGGACAAAATATGGTATGACACAGTCTCCTGTGTCAGGGAACAGGGATCTGGTGGGCAGCCAGGACTTCTAAATACTGCAGTGTGGGGAACAGAGGTGAAGACAGAACTGGTGACAAATGGTGCTCCTTGCGTGTTCTGGATGGAAGAGGGTTGTGGCAGTCCATCTGGAGGCCACCACTCAAACTCTCTATCTCAGAATCTGAATCTAGCTGTGATAGGGTGAACTCCAAGAATAGGAAAATCAGTTCAAAGGACAGTCATCATGTCGGCATAGAGTGGATCTTGCTTTCCCCACCTCGGGGCAGCGTTGGGCTGGAAGGTGATTGTTAGGGTCTGAGTGGTTGAGAAGAGGATGGTGCAGCCTTTTGGAGTCCAGGGGTGGGGAAGGAAGGAAGAGTTAAGTGGGGTTCACTTGAAGGCATCTGAATTCAGACTTTAGAGCTCAAGGAACCAATACTGGTCTCTTGGGTGTGTTTTCCACAGGCAACTGTGTGTATATGCTCAGTGTGACTTTGCAAAGGAGGCAGAAACCTTTGGACTCTGGAAACCACACAGAAATTCAGCAAGCTGCTGATGACCATCACAGGGGATCCTGGACGGTCCACCCTGGGCACAAGACGAAGCACAGATCCTGGTCCCAAGCAGACCAACCGCCACCCTTTGGGGAGAATCTGATAACCTCTCTGCACTCTCTGCCGGAGGCGGTTTATGAAGATGTTGCATGAGCACAGGTGCAGCAGGAGCAGTTCCTGTGGATCCAGGAGCAGCTGTGCACATTGGAGCAGCTTCCTGGGTCTCTATGCGCAGCTATGCACTGGCCTCATAGGCATCCTGGGCTGTGCTGCTCAGTGCTTGCTCCTTCTGGCCCCTCAGCCTGAGCTCTGCAGTCGTTCACTCGTTTGTGTTCATAGCTTCACCAGGGATGAGAAAGGCCAGTCACACACTGTGCAGGTGGCAACTGAGGCAGGCAGAGGATTCGAATAGTTGTGCTGCCAGCTTGGGTCATGTTCAGTAGTGGATGTATCTCTGGTGGAGACAAAGACTTGCTTTTGCTCCTTCTCAGGATGACCTGCGGAGACCCAATATTCAGGAATTGTTGATTGGTGACAGAATGGGGGCAGTACTGGGAAAGCAACTTGATCAACATCCTCAGAATTATAAACCTGTTTAACCTAGGTTTATGATGGCGAGAATGTTAAATTTCATGTTAATCGTTGGTTGTCTTGCAACAGTCATACTTTTAAAAAAAAGATTTATGGGAGCTGGCACCATGGTGCAATAGTTTAATCCTCTGCCTGTGGCACTGGCATCTGTTACAGACACCGGTTCTAGTTCCGGCTGCCTCTCTTCCAATCCAGCTCTCTGCTATAACCTGGGAAAGCAGTAGAAGACAGCGTGAGTGCTTGTGCCCCGCACCCACATGGGAGGCTGGGAAGATGCAGCTGGCTCCTGACTTTGGATTGGTGTAGCTTCGGTCATTGCAGCCATCTGGGGAGTGAACCAGCAGAAGGAAGACCATTCTCTGTCTCTCCCTCTCACTGTCTGTAACTCTACCTCTCAAATAAATAAATAAAAGGTCTTTTAAAATATTTATTTATTTGAAAGAGTTACAGAGAGAGGTAGAGAGAGAGAGAGAAGAGAGAAAAGAAGAGAGAGAAGAGAGAGAAGAGAGAGAGAGGTCTTTCATTCTTCTGGTTCACTTCCCAAATGACTGCAATGGCCAGAGCTGAGCTGATCTGAAGCCAGGAGACAGGAGCTTCCACCAGGTCTCCCACGAGGGTGCAGGGGCCCAAGGAGTTGTGCCATCTTCCACTGCTTTTCCAGGCCATAGCAGAGAGCTGGATCGGAAGAGGAACAGCCAGGATTTGAGCCAGTACCCATATGGGGTGCCAGCACTGCATTTTGGGGCTTTAGTCCACTGTGCTATAGGGCCAGCCCAAAAAGTCATGCATTTTTAAAAATAATCAGATAAATGTTAAAGAGGAATCATTTACACTTCTGTGGGTTTTTTCTTTTTCCTTTTCTTTTTTCTTTTTGGTCTTAAAGCTTTTAGGCTTGGAGAAGTCCTTGTGAAGTGGGATGAGTAGTCACCAGGAGAACTTTGACCTCCTCTAGTCTGCTCTGAGGGAGATGACAGGGTGGGTCCACCTGGTACAGGGATTCAGAAGTGGGTGGTTATCCCACAGTGGGCATTGGTGGGTCTTAGGCTTCTTTTTTATTTTTTTGACAGGCAGAGTGGACAGTGAGAACAGAGAGAGAGGTCTTCCTTTTTCTGTTGGTTCACCCCCCAACGGCTGCTGCGGCTGGTGCGCTGTGGCCAGCACACTGTGCTGATCCAAAGCCCGGAGCCAGGTGCTTCTCTTGGTCTGCCATGTGGGTGCAGAGCTCAAGGACTTGGGCCATCCTCCACTGCACTCCCGGGCCAGAGCAGAGAGCTGGACAGGAAGAGGAGCAACCAGGACAGAATCTAGCACCCAGACCAGGACTAGAACCCGGGGTCCTGGTGCTGCAGGTGGAGGATTAGCCTATTGAGCCGTGGCGCCAGCCTCTCAGGCTACTGAGACCTTTGCTGGTCAAGTGTGGACTGTCTGTGTTGCCCAAAAAGAAGCTGACACTGAGATTCTTTGGGATTTTATTGTGTTGCAGCCACTCTTTTTTTCCATTTTATGATATAATGTGACAAGCAATTTAACCTAAATCCCTAGAATCTTCTGGAACAATTATATTAGCTATTAAGCAGTTAATTCATAACAATACAAAAGCAACAAAATCATAACGTTAGAGACAGGCATTTGATGTAGTGGTTGGGATGCTGACTGGGACACCTCCATCCTATGTTGAAATACTGGGACCGCTGCCCAGTCCAACTCCTGACTACCAGATTCTTGCTAGTACACACCCTAGAGGCAGCAGTGACAGCCCAAGTGTTTGAATCCCTTCCATAGAGCTGGATTGGTGATTCATGATTCTGGATTCTCTTCCCTCCCCAAAGGTTGCTATGCGTATTTGGGGAGTGAAACAGCAGATGGTACTTCTCGTCTATCTCTGTCTCTTAAGTCAATCATAAAAATAAAACAGTAATACTTCCATCAGTGCGTGGGCCTTCAGAGAGCCTAACAAGAATCTGATGGAAACTGACAAAACTGAATCTAAAGTCTCTTAAAAACTTCCCTTCACTGGTACTGAGCCCACAATGCTGAGTCTCTTGTGACTATGTGTTATTTTGTGGGTGATTTCTTTTGTTTACCATAATAACTTCAATATCCAGCTATGCCGATACAAATATCAGCTGTTCACTGTTCCCATGCTGAATAGTATTTCTTTGCATCTATTTACCTCTTTAAAAACTGGTCATGGACATCGGGTGGATTCTACTTTTTGTATTTGGAGTAATACTTTTGGAAACTATGATGTGCAGCATTTTTTTCACCTATGGTATATCATTCATCTGAGTTCTGAGTCACTTAAAAAGTCTACATGATCTAGAGGAAAGAGATTATCCCACTTCCTCATTGTTTGGGTGAAATACTACCTTTTCCTCTGGTGATATTTTGTTCATTTCATAGCTTTATTGAGATAGTGTCCACTCATTGAACTATATATTACAGCGCACAACTTGATGTTTTGATAGATGTGTATATGGTGACATGTTCAAAATGTACCTAAGTAACACATCTATCAACTCTTCTTTTTTCATTTAATTTTAATTAATTTTTAACAGATTCTCTAATATGATTTGTACATACACATCTAAGAAAATAGTGATATTCCCTTTCTTCCACCCTGCCTCCCACTCTTATTTCTTCTACCATTTGTTTTGTTTTTCAGTTTTTGAGAGTAAATATTTTAAATGTACATTTCAAGAAAAGGCTTAATAATTCACTAAATAAGAATTTTAACAAGTAAAAATCAAATAAAAACCTCTAGTTTAGTGATAATTATACATTACATATTTTGTACTCTATTGGTTACCACAGATCAGGAAAAAAATACAGTATTGTTTTTTTTTTTTTGAGATTGGTTTCTTTCACTAAGTATGATTATTTCCAGTTGTATCAGCTTGCTGCAAAAGACAGGATGTTACTATTTTTTGTTGTTGTTTTGTTTTTTTTTGTTTTGTTTTTACAGCTAAATAATATTCCATAGTGTATATAGCCCACATTTTCTATATCCAGTCATTGGTTGCTGGACATCTGGCTTGATTCTATATCTTAGCTATTGTGCAGTGAGCTCTAGTAAACATGGGGGTACACATAACTCTTTCATATGCTGATTTCATTTTGTTTGGGTAAATTCTTAGGAGTGGGATGCCTCGGTTAAATGGTAGATCTATTTTCAGCTTTTTGAGAAATCTCCATACTGTCTTCCACAATGGTTGTACTAGGTTACATTCCCACCAACAATTAGGTTGGGTACTTTAGGATACCTTTTCCCCCATATCTTCCCCAGCATTTATTATTTTTTGATTTCTGTATTAGAGTCATTGTAACTGGGGTGAGGTGAAACCTCATTGTGATGTTTACTTGCATTTCTCTGATGGCTAGTGAACCTGAGGTTTTTTCATGTGTCTGTTGGCCATTTGGATTTCATCTTTTGATAAAATGTCTGTTCAAATCCTTTGCCAACTTCTTAATTGGATTGCTTGTTTTGTTGTTGTTGAGAATCCCATTTGCCTATTTTTACTTTGATTGCCCATGCTTCTGGGGGTCTTTTCCAAGAAGTCTTTGCCTATGCCAATGTCTTGCAGATTTTCTCCCATGTTCTCTAGTAATTTGATGTTATCAGGTTATAGATTAAGATCCCTGATCCATTTTGAATTGATTTTTGTAGAATGTGTAAGGTATGGGTCTTGTTTCATACTTTTACACATGCAGATCCAATTTTTCCAATACCACTTGTTGAGGAGACATTCCTTTCTTCAGGGATTGATTTTACCTCTTTTATCAAAGGTTAGTTGGTTGCAGAGGTGTGGATTGATTTCTGGAGACTCTATTATGTTGCAGTTATCTACACATCTATTTTGGTGCAAGTACCAGGTTGTTTTGATTATAATTGCCTTTATAGTATATCTTGAAGTCAGGTATTGTGATACCTCTAGCTTTGTTTTTGTTGTTTAAATTGCTTTAGCTATTCATAGTCTCTTGTGTTTCCATATGAATTATAGCATCATTTTTGTAGATATGAGAAGGATTTGGTATTTTGATTGGGATCACATTGAATCTGAAAATCGCTTTGGTAGTATGGACATTTGGTTTATGTTAACTCTTGCAATCCACAGGCATGGAAAATTTTTCCAGTTTTTACATTTTCTTCTATTTCTTTCTTTCATGTTTTGTAATTTTCATTGTAGAGATCTTTCGCATTATTGGTTAAATTAATTACAAGGTAAGCCATTCAACCTCCTTCTGGGTTGTACTCTGTATAGTCTTCAATCCCACATAGCTGTCTGTATCTCAAGAAATGGCCACTAGAGGACAGAAAGAACTGCTTCTCTTGAAAGTTCTTCCAGGCTTGGGCAAGCCTAATTTCTGTTAGGCAATGCCGTTATCCACTAGTATACATGTAGCTATCTTTATCTTGCAACTATTTTTCTTCAGTTTTATTTCCTAAACAAACTCTCGTCTCTACATAGTGTTACCAAAGCACTTTATAAATAGTAATCACCTTGATTTTCAACTCTTGCATATTTTCAGACTCTATAAATAATCAATAAAAACATTTATGAACAAAGTTTATGAGAATACTTTTTATACCAATATTTTGGCTTTTTCAAGGAAACATAAGAATTCCCTTCCTCACATCACTTCAATTAATGTACTTAGATAATTATAAAATGAAAGCACATACTTTATTAAAATAGTGTTACATTATACAAAATATATAAAATTGTCTTATAACTCACTGCCCCCATGAGAATTCATGGTTAAGTTTTTATGTACTTCAAAATTCTCTATGAATATTTCTCACAGAGTTGGAGAGGAAGAAAGAAGTGTGTGTATGTATGTGTGTAATATGTATGTGTAAAAGTGGAAGTAAAAGATAAGTTTATGTTGGTGGAAAAAATTTCTTAACCGATGCAGAGTTTTCCTTTTAGTAAATGTGCTGCTGTAGTGAGTGTTATGCAGAACTTTCAAAAAATATTTATTTATTTGAAAGAGTTTAGAGATAGAGAAGGAGAGAAAGAGAAAGAGATCTTTCTGCTGGTTCACTCCTCAAATGACCTCTTCCTGAATTTCACAGAGAAGGAATTGCAAATCCCATGCCCAGAAGGAAATGAAGAGGGAGGAGGAGAGGAAGAGAGAGAAGGCACAGAGGTCAGTATCTGTGGACACAGCCTGTCCCGTAACAGGTGGTCCATTCCCACCCTTCTCTAATTCACACAGTGCTGCTGTGAAGAGAAACAGATTGCATCATTTAAAAATTATTGCCATCCAAATTATGGACCTTACTGCCTTCTCATGTTCTCAGGTGTATGTAGTTGATAATTCAACTATATTAATGTTAAACCACCATACTCTAGTCTAAGGGGGACCAAATATGGTCATGCCTGGATCCTTTTTTTTTATGAGTTCTGTGGCCCTGAGAAAGTCCTTGTTTCTTTCCTAGTCTTCCCAGTCCCCCCTCTGCTCAACTGGAATAATTCCAGCATCCTCATTCTTGGCTTCTCATGGGGCATATGGCATATAAACCCATGAGCTAATACCAATGCAGCTAATGCACAGACTTAGAGATGGACGAACTGAATTATGAAATGAGCTGGGACACAACATGGGATACTACTAAATACAGCTCTGGTCAGCAGAACGGCATGACCTTGTGAAAGTCGCTTCATTTCCTTCACTTCTTGGCTTCATTTCCTAGTCTGCATTAGATTTGAGTTGACCTGAGTTGCAATGTAGATATCATCTTCCTCTGGCATTAAATATTACAACATCCACCCTTTGTATTTGGAATCAGACCCAAATTCCTCCCCCTTACCTAAGTACTGGGCAGTCGCCATGTGGTTTACTATGACTCCTACCTCCTGGTGTGCACAGCCCCCCTGCAATCCCTCCCCTAGGAGTTACACAAAGTTGGTGACTTCTGTCTGTCTCTGTCCTACATTCCTCACCTCTCCACCTGCCTTGGTACCTTCCTCTAGGGAAACAACCTGAGGTATAATGAGCTGTTCTGTGGAGGGGCCCCAATCACAAAGAACTGAGGGAGGGCCATGGAAGCAGAATGAAGAGATTCCAGCCAAGCTTGAATCTTTCCAATAACTTACTAATAAGCTTGGAAGTGAATCTTGCCTAAGCAGCCTCGGTTGAGATAGCAGTGCCAGCTTTCTGTGAGCCCTTCAGGCAGAGGCACCAGGCTTATCTCTGCTTGGAACCTACTGCACAGTAACTGGGAGATAATGTCTGCTGTTGTAAGTTGCTGAATTGGGGATAGGAGTGATGTCATCACATAACAATAGATGAGTAGCACTGTCTTCCAGGCCCCAGAGCCTGTCCCTCTCCGCATTCCTTGTTCTCCAGCTCACCTACAATTCTCTACATACACCCTGGCTGCGTTTGTAACCTCCTCGCTGGCTCTACTAATGCCTCCCGCTACCTCTGTATCTCTGCATAGTTGTGCCTCCCCCTAACACATTGCTCCCAGACTTGTGCAAAGCTGGATCTCTGAGATGCAGGAAAAGTGTTCTCTCCCTGAGGCCTTCCAGATCCTCTCACCTACTCCCCTCTCGAGTTCCTCTCACAGTGTCCTCCTTCACTCCTCTATAGCACTTGCTCCTCTTTTTCACACCATTCTCCTTCTGTGCTTCTGTCCTCTCCTATCAGACTGAGCCCCTGGCAGGATCCATTTCAGCTTTTTTTCAGAGCCTCACTCAGGTCCTAACATTGTCCCTCCATGAGGTTGCTGCTGAGGGTACAGGTGCTGAATAGACATGAGAGGAACTCATGGGCAGCTCATAGCGTGGGGGTGGACACTAGCAACAGGAGGTGCCAGGTGGATGTGAGTTAAGAGGACACCCGGAATGACCTTTGGAGGCTTTACCCTGGCAATAGCTGCTTCACTGAGCACAGTGGGCTCTGCCATCCTCGCCTGCTCAGCTCAAACACTATGGCCCCAGGTAGGAAATCAGAAACAAAATCTTCACATGGTGTTGAGTGTCCACATTAGGAGTCCAGGACTGAAGGGGATGAAGGAGCAGGACCTGCAAGCACTAGTAACAATGAGAGGGACCTCAGAAGACTCCCTTGTCTCACTCTTTTTTCTGCCTCTGGAGGCATCCAGGTCACTCACTGCAGCTGGGGTAATGACTCTTGTCCTGCACCCACTGAGGGACTTGAGGCTCCAACAAGGGCTGTGTTGGCCCTGGAGAAATGATCCTGAGCTCGGCCACATCCTGCACCACCCAAATCCTCTTTACCCCAAGCCCCACATCTTTCTGCTTGGGAGGACCCACCCTGGGGTTGAAGGCATTTCCAAAATCTCAAGGGGCAGTAGATTCATTGATGGAGAATCAAGGCCAATAGAGATTTTTGAGAGCCTATGGAATTCTCCGGGTCACATACTCCCAGCCCAGGACCCTAATTGTAGAAAGGAAAGCTGAGGCCATCTCTCATATTTTTTTGCCCCATATACAACGGATTGGCCCTGGAAATCATACCCTAGACCCAACTATTCTGGCGACTGCCACAGAATCACAGATCTTGTCTGCCTGAAGTGCTCTGGAGATAGCTCCTGCCAGGGGAGAAACAGAACATAGAGGAAGCCACTCACACACACACACGCACACATGCACACACGCACACATACACACACATACACATACATACACGCACACATACACATGCATGCATGGTAGGCACCAGCTACGTTGCTAGGAGATGGCAAGCCTGGAGCCACTTTCCTAGCCAAAGAACCCGACCACTTGTTTGATTCTAGAAGAACACCACACATGATGTCTCCAGCCAATCAGGATGAGTTCCATCAACCAATCAGGGGGCTTGCAGTGCACGTGGGGTCTCCAAGTAACCAACATGGCTGCTGCTATCCTCACCAACTGATCAGAGACAGCTGTCACTAACAGCACAACACCAAGAATGACGAAGATCCCTGTTCTGGGGCTGGGCACCTGGAAGGTGAAATGGTCTGGCATGCCGGAAGTGGCCGCCTCTTCTGCCACTGCACGCCTGACTTAAGTGAATTCTGGAGGGTGGGGGCTGGGCTCTGGATGGGTGAATCTTCGCCTTGGGGTCTCCGGCACCCAGAACTTACCAGGCTTCTCACCCTACTCCTCAGACCCCGGCCCCTCCACCTGATACGGATCCAAACTGGGATCCGTAGCGGGTCTGAGAAGTCGCTTGTGCCATGCTAGAGGTCCACTCCTGCCTGAGGAAGACACGGCTATTAACCTAAAATGGCATCCCGCTATGACGTGAGCAGGACTGAAACTTTTGTAAAACAAATTTTAGTAAATTATCTGAGAATCTGGTGGCAGTTATGGCATTTCAGAGTCACTTTTAATATTTTAAACCTCCTATTTTTTAGCATTTTGTCTGTTTTTCAGTTTAGGGTTATGCTGAAGAGTTTAGAACACTTGCTTTCTTATTACATTATTACATTGCTATTAAACCTTCATTTATTCTTGAATTTTTAATTTATTTCTAGAAACCTTTCCATTTCATGTTATTGTTCTAATAATATATATGTATAGCTATAGGTAATATTTTCTTTTAAGTTTATTGGGTATGCACATCCTTCCTTTTCATATCATTTTACAAAGTGGGCTTCTATTGATTAAACTTTCCCAAAGATTGATCGGTATGTGTGACGGAGGGTTTCATTTCGAAGTGGGAAATGGGAAGTAGCTGGTAGCAGCTGTTTGCGCTGGCACAGCTCCGCGGGCCTCTATGCAGCGCCATGCAGAGCTGCTATGCGCTGGCCTCGCAGGCAGCCTGGGCCTTCCCTGCCCAGGGCTGGCTCCTCCCGGCCCAAGCCCCGGCCTCCGCCCGGGCCCCGGCCCCGGCCCCGGCCCTGGCCCCGGCCCCGGAGCACATGCCTGCTGTCCAGTCGCGGGCACCTGCTCAGAGCTCCTCCCAGGAGGGGGAAGGCCAGCCCTCTGCTGAGCAGGAAGAACCTGAGGCACACAGGGCATCAGACTAATCTTGTGCTGGGGAGCCCGCATGGTGGACACTAGAGGGCGCATCTCTGACACACAGAAAGACTTGCTGCTGCTACTTCTCCGCAAGCCCAGCAGAGACCCTGTATTCGGGATGAGCTGATGCCTGAGGGACTCTGGGTGGCCATAGGAAAGGAACTCAAGCGACTTCCTTGGAATCAGGAACCTGTTCTTTCCTTGACAGAAGAATGTCGGTTTTCACATTACCAATCTGGATCCTTCTAACTGACTTGAAGTTTTAAATGAAGCACATATTAAGAGGTCATCATTGACACTTGTGCATTTTTGTCAATGTAAAGTTTTCTACCTGGAGAAGTTCTGGGGAGGTGGGAGGAGCAGTGCCCAGGAGGACTCTGAGGGGAGATGACAGGGTGGGTCTGTGTGAGACAGGGCCTCAGAACGAGTGGGTGTCTGAGGGTGGGCAGAGACGGTACCCAGACGTCTGAAACCAGTGTTAATCAAGCGTGGACAGTTTCTTGCCCCACCGGAATTTGACGCTGTGACTGTGTGATTTTATTCTGCTGAAACCACTTTCAATTGATAACATAAGTTTCAGATGTTCGAGATGAATAAGGATGTGTTATCTTCATAAAATTAGTTTCGTGTATTTATATGAACATGAGTACATGAATGTTCTTCTAAATCTTAATAAAAACGAATTGAAGACCAATTGAATTTAATAGAAGTTTTATTTCTTTAAATGAATGAATTCTTTCTTTATTGTGACTTAGTAATGGTGACAGAGGGAGAGGCAAAAAGAGAGTGAGAAATTTCATCTGCTGGTTCTCTTTGCAAATGGCTGAGTGGCTGGGGCTGTTCAAGGCAAAAACTAGCAGCCTGCAACTCCAACAGATTTCTCACACGTGTGTCAGTGTACCAGGACTTGGATCTTCCCCCATGGCTTTGGCAGGCACATTAGCAGGGATCTAGATCAGAAGCAGAGCAGCCAGGATGTGAACCCACAGCTCTATAGACTATGCTGCTGTGCCAAATAGTGGCTTAACCTACATAGCTACAGTTTGGCTAGTTCTGTGTCAATTTTTGAACCCATGCTGAGATCAGTAAATAGCACAGGGTATTTATTATTTACGGAGAGAAGTCAAGACAGATAGAGAGAGGTCTTCCATCCACTGGTTCACTCCCCAG